AATGTGATATCTATCTATCTATCTATCTATCTATCTATCTATCTATTCTATATATATTCTATGCCTCCATCAAAAAGAATGACATCACCCCATTTGTTAGGAAATGGAAAAAATTATATTAAGTGAAGTAAGCCAGGCCCAAAGAAACATAGGTCCCATGGTTTCCCTTATTTGCAATAACTAGTATATGTCTGAGACAAGCAGAAATGGTCAGATAAGTTGATGTTAGGCGAAATGAACCCCACGATAAGGAAGGTGGCTCAGTGGTAGAGTGCTTGCCTTGCATGCCTGAAGCCATGGGTTCGATTCCTCAGCACCACATAAGCAAAAAGAAAATAGCCAGAAGTGGTGCTTTGGCCCAGGCCCAGAGTTCAAGCCCCACGACTGGACCCCCCCCCAAAAAGGGACTCAAATGTTTTTTCTTTCTTGCTATTGTTTCTAACATATTTATATGATGATTTCTTTGTCGCTTTGTATGTCCTCCCCCATAGCATAACCCCTGTTTTCACTGTATTTGATGTTGGTATCATTTGTGGAGGGGAAGAGAAAAAAAACAAATTGTTTAAATAGGGATACAGGTGGACCCATTGCAACAATGAGATGTACAAGTCGTTATATTGAAAAACAAACTTTACAACTTTGGTGGAGTGGGAAGGGAGAGATGAGAGGGCAAGGATGTGAGGGGAAACAAAGGAAGAGGCAACAATAAGAAATGTACTCATTACCTTGCTCATGTAATTGTAACCCTACCATACGGTATTTTCACATTAAAAAACTCATTAATAAAAAAAGAAGTAATTTCTCCCAAATCCATATTTGTCTCTTGTATTAATAAAAATCCAAGAATAGGTAGAATCTAGACAAGACTGTAGAGGAATGTCAACTTTTGTCTAAAGTTTCAGATCTTTCATTACTCCATGTTATATACTAAAATTTAATTCACTTTAAATCAAAATAGGATAGCAATGTAATTTTATTTTGCACAATTTATCTCGTTGCTCACAAGAACCTATACTTGGCTTTCTGCAAAGATGCCTCCTAACACAAATTAAAGACTAATGCAGTTCGATTAGCAGAGAAAACCACATTTGCATTTCTTTGAACTTTCATTCTCTTATTCAAGATACTATGTCTGAACAGCTGTAGACACTAGAAGATTTTCTGAGTCATATGCTAATTTTCCTTCTACTTCAATACAATTTAAAATCCACTTAATTACTCTTTTCCTGTAACACTCCTTTATAAAGAGTTCATAAAATCTACTACTCTGAATATTCTCCTTTTTTCACTTTCTTTCTTTCCTCCTTCTTTCCTTCCTTCTTCCTTCCTTCCTCTCTTTCTTTCTCTTTCTTTCTTTCTTCCTCTTTCTTTCTTTCTTTCTTTCTTTCTTTCTTTCTTTCTTTCTCTTTCAGTAGTTGGACAAAGGAGGTACCATATAACAGAGCAGTTTATAAATACAATGCATCTAGATAAATGTCATCTCTTCAACATTCTCACCCTCCTTCCAACCCTCCTCAGTGTACTTTTCTGAACTTTGAGGCATATATAATGAATTCTTGACTGTGTTCTCCCTCTCTTCCCCTCTTCATTCCTCTACCCCCTCCCTTTGGTCCTGCCTCCTGTTCTTAGATACCAATTTCCTGGTGTTGTACCATTCCTAAGGAAATGAAGAGACTTAGAAAAAAAATTCTATTAAGTGCAGTAAGCTAGACCCAGAGAAACAAAGGCTGCATGGATCTATTGAGAGATTGAATGTACCTATAAATCTATAAGTAAATACACCGGTAGTATGAAAGTGGTTACAAATGAATTATCAGAAGTATAATAGACTCCATGGAGAGCTCAAATGGCATAATCTTTTAGAAAGTCTAGGTCAAAGCCCAACAAAATAAAAGCCAGGAAATAGGTGTATTCTTCTTTCTTAATGGAAACTGCATTTTAAAATTCAGTCTGCTCTTCCACAAGTTCTTTCCTAGATGAAAGGTTAAAAAATTACATGAAAACCACCAGATTATATGATTTTCAACATTCTTATTTTAACAACTAATTTTAAAGAACATTATATGTAAGCTGAAAAGAGGCAAGATCCAAGAATATAGTCAGGAACCATTGCAGCCTGCTAAAAGCTTATCCACTGTGGGAAAGAGCAAGAAAAGGAACCTAGAATTGTGATATCACAGATTGCTTAAAAAGTAGAGTTAAAAGTATCTGATGGCTTAAATGTACACTGTATGTTTTACATAATAATGATTCCAAAAGAATTGTGAGAATTCTATTTATTTATGAATTGTGAGAGTTTTATTATTTTAAAATAGAACCATCTAAAGAGATTGTAACTTAGACTGAGAGGCAAAAGTTTTGTCTTGCCTATTCCATACTACTTGAGTCTAGAGAATAAGTGTCTTATAAAACTGCTAAAATCTGGCATTTTTTTACTCATTGATTCTGCTTTGTAAAGGACATCCCAATATCTTTGGGTTTTTCTTCTTTGCTGTTTCCTTAAAATGTTTATTAATAATGAATTGTCGGGTAGTCTAATGATCTGGGTTCATTGGAAATGATGTCCAGGGTAAATGAACTGATTAAAGAAAGTATGGGAAAGGCTGTATATTATGCTACATTTATCTAACAGTGTATGTACCACTTTTCTTGTGCCATATGAGTTACACTCTTCCATGGTAGATTAAGCAGACTACCCTACTCCACTGAGGTTAGCTTGTGCAAGTGACACAGGCAGAGGTTTAAATATGCTGGTATGGTTGAGTTAGCCCTTTCCCCTCTTGGAATAAGTCCTATGAAGAACCACCTGATGGCTGATGTTCCAGGGAAAAGATGTATGTAGGGAACAGACAACTACTCAACTGATGGTTTTGAGCCAAGCGCACCCATTTCTCAGCCTGAATGTACTAGAGATGCCTAAAGGTAAGTGGGTAAACATGAAAAACAGATGTTTGATGTTGTAAGCCATTGAATTGGTCATGACGATTAACTGCATTGTAATTGTAATAGGAGCTCTTCTAACCAACTCACTTAACCAGATTCCTGTATTAACACTGTCTTTCAGTGTTCCCATAAAATCAATTTACTGATATTAATGCCGCTTCGATTTTCATAGCTAGTAGTAAGACAATTTAGTGTGCTGTGCCTTCCTTCCTGTGCCTCCTGGTTGAATGACATGCTTACTAAGCACTCCAAGGGCATTTATGTTTCTTCTTAGAAAAACTAAAATAGTTGGGACAATTTGATGAGATGAAGAACATATTGTAAGAAAACTATTTTATGGGAACTAGAGGTGTAACTCAAAGGGTAGAATGCCAGACGTGAGTCAAGAAAGCCAAGCAGTTCATGGCACTAAATTCAAGTCTCAGTACGGAACAAATATACCCCTCTCCCCCCCCCCAAAAAAAACAACCAAAAATCACATTGTGCTCTTTGAAAAGTTCAATAAAAGTCATTAAAATTGAGATCAATGTTAGTTATTTTCTTAAGTAAGAACTATAAAATTATCGAAGTTAAAATTGCCAAGTTTTTAATCACTACATATATATACATATATATATGTATAATTTTTGAGACATGCTCTCATTATGTAGCTCAGCCTATCCTTGAACTTGTAATTTTCCAGCTTCAGTCTCTCTAGTGTTGAGATTATAGCAACATGCCTGACTCCTTACCCTACTTTAAAGACAGTAAAAATTAAGGATGACAAATTATGGACTATAAATTACAGAATGTTTATATATTATCTGATATCCAAAAGACTTTGGTTCTTCATGCAGAACCAATTTGCATTCACTTGTTTTAAGTTTAAGTACATTACTAAAAGAATGTATGTGCATCATTTTTGATGTTTCCCTGAGGACCATCAACAGTTACTTTATTAATTACATCTTCATAGAAGGTAAAAAGATAAAGAACTCTTCCTAATTCACACCATTCAGAAGTACAGGAATGAAAAAAATTCACATTACTCTTTGAACTCTGTATTAACCTTAGAATCAATATCCATTATCTTTTATGGACTGAAAGAGATTCATGGCTTGTTTCCTTTGTTGATTCTAAATGAAGCTATTTGGAGGAGTTTTATTACATGTTATACAAATACAAATATAGTAACATAAATTCTACTCTGAAAATGCTGACTGATCTGTCTAGTTGCTGTTTAGACTAAAACAAGAGGGGATTGTTTTTCATGTGTTATAACTCGAGGCTACTGCTTTGTCATTGATTTACAAAACATTGTTATAAGAAAGCCACCTTAATCTGGCGTTGTTTCAAAGGAGGGAGCTTAGAGTGAATAATTTTAGTAATTAATAATTTAGCAAATCCTAATGTTTTTTCTTTCTTAATATTGTCTCTATCTAAACCTATCTTGTTAAATGTATAACAAGCTCCTGGAAAACTTGCATTTTATTTGCTATTCTCTTTCATGCTTCCAGATATATATCAAGGTTTATTTCATGACTGGTTTATATAGAGTACCCTAATAACTATTGGCTTAATTCTAGGTAAGCTGGAGGTTACAGTGACACTGAATGTGCTTCTAAGTAACTGTTCTGACAATGACTCTCCTATGCTTATAATCAGTCTTAAGAAAAAGGGAATGGGGAGGGGGTGTATTGTTTGTGTAAATTATGTGTTTGTACATGTGTTTATACACACTCAAAACTGGCTAAAGAAGGCCTTCTTTTACCTACTTTCTCAATTGAACATTGAGTAGCTAAGTTGGATTTAAAAAGGGCTTAAGCCTTAACTAAAGGTATGAGATTTTGAGATGCCAGACAAAGATATTCCCTAAAATAAGAACAGCACAATTCAAATAATTTCTAGTTTGGATATACAGAAACAGAAACATGTCAACAACATCCACAGACGCACTGAGCTCAACTTCATTATGGATGAGTACTTTTTCCCCTAAAAACTCTCCTGGGCTTGAAATCTGATTTGGTTTTGTTTGTTTTTTTAACTGTAAAACCATTGCACTTAGAGCTATATTGCATTTAGAGATACTCCTTCATCAGAGCTATGATTTTAGTATATACCCGTTGAGGGGCATCAAGGCCCCAGACAAAATCAAAGTGGTTCCAATCTGGCAAAAGTCTAAAATAACTAAGATTTTTAATTTGAGGAAGTATCCTGGCCACATCCTGGGGTGTCACAAGGCTGTCATGTCCACCAGCCCAAACAGCAGTAGGTACCTTCATGGTGGTTATGTCATATAGTGGAGGGCGACTCTGTGAGAAGAGAAACAGGGCAGTCATGGTCTGAAGTTAGACACAGCAATAACTGAATTTAAACAAATGGAAAAATCTTAGCAACCTGAGTATCTGCTGTGCCATAGATCTGTTAGACACCAAGTAAGAGGCAAAGAAAGTACATATTGTCCCCTACATTCAAGGAGTTTGTGAAGGAGGGGGCAATTCAAGAGTATTAAATGAACACTGTATAGACAGTAATGTAGATTGTATGCTATAAGGTAGTCTCAAAATACAGGAGAAGTGATGGCAAAAAGAAATTCTTTCCAACTCGGCTTTAATGGAAAGAGGAATAAATTTGAAATGACTCTTGTGAGCAGTTGAATTTTGACAGATAAAAATGGTAGATAGAATGGGAGGGTTTCACAGGGAAGGAAGAATGAGCAGGTCATAATAAGGAAGGAAATATAATAAAATAGAGCAGGAAGATCATAAAGGTTTGAGTGTCAAGCTGAGTAAGGCATTTGGACATCTTTCAGAAGTTGTGGGAAAAAATACAGAGTTGTTTTTTTTCTGAAACTCTATCTTAAAATAGCTACATGAGCATCAGTGCGTGGTTTGACTTGAAGGAGTGGGTTGAAGATAAGTCCTAAATATATCTAGACAAATGGATGTTCCTAATTGTAGCTCTGGGCATGATTACATTCTCCAAGGGTAATAAAAAGTTGTGAGAAATACTGTGAGAGTGCTCCCAATTGGGAAGGGGGGGGGGAGAGGAAAATAAGAGGACAAAGGGAACAATAAGAAATGGAAAGGAGGGCTGGGAAGGTGGCTCAGTGGTAGAGCACTTGCCTTGCATGCCTGAGGCCCTGGGTTCGATTCCTCAGCACCACATAAGCAAAAAGAAAAAAGCCGGAAGTGGCACTGTGGCTCAAGTGGTAGAGTGCTAGCCTTGAGATAAAGAGCTGAGGGACAGCGCCCAGGCCCAGAGTTCAGGCCCACGACCGGACCCAAAAAAAAAAAAAAAGAAATGGAAAGGAAATCAGGCATCATTGCATTACGGAATTAGGGGAGCTAGTTGTGAAATGATTGTTATAACTAGCATAGCACATTTCAGACAACTGAATCTGGCAATTCAATATCACAGATGACTTTAAATGGAGTTCTGCAATAGGTAGATGAAGATTAAAACTGGATGTTCAAAGGTACATGAGTGAGTAAAAAAGGGAAACAGTTTTTATACGTGTTTTTAAACAGTAGAAATAGACTGATGGAATGGTGGCTTGTTAGAACTGGCAGATTAAGAGAAAATTTGCTTGTTTTTCATTAAAGACAAAGGTTCAGGTGAGATAAAAAAAGCATCTAGGAAGAAAGGGAGGTGATGAAAGACAGGACAAATGGCACAGAAGCAAATTAATTTCTGATAGAGAAAGGCAGGGGAGAGTCAGAAGGACACCGGCATTTTGATCCAGATGAGAAGGAAATAATGATTTTATTATATAGCAAATAAATATTGAGAATCTGGGCCTGGGACATTCCAGGTATTCTTCTGAGATTAAAAATAAAACCTAGGAAACAAAATAGAGAGAAATCCCTACCCTCTTGGAACTTATATAGGTTGATCTTCTTTTGTTAGACCCAAGACCAGGATTCATAGCTAGCTTTTGCTCATAGACTAGCACTCTACCAACTGAGCCTTGCCACCAACCTCCATGGGTTGATTTTCATGGGAAGTGCAGGTTGGGGGGAAATAGAGATATTGCTGGTGACTTCAGGGGGAGGTTAATTGATGAGAATAGCTTCTCATAGGGAATGGAACGAAACTGACTTCAAACCATATAAAATTAAAACCAAAACCACAACAGCAAAAACAACCTAATCAGGATTGGCTTGGAGCAGGATAGAACCAGCTAGATGTTGATGAATGCTGACACCCTGACATACATCAGAAGTTGACTATTATTTTTAGGTGTATAATTGTGTGTGTGTGTGTGCGCGAGCGTGCACACATGTTCATGTATGTGTGTGTATCTGTTGTCTTGTAAATGCAAACATCACATAAATATATTTGTTCACTAAAATTAATGGAAGAAAGAAAAAATACTGTGTGTTAAGTCCAAGAGAAGAAGTTTTTACTACTTTGCGTTCATCTACTTTATTTCACTTAACTGAAGATAACCAATTTAACATTTGTTATTTGCTTTTCCTGGGCCTTTTCTAAACTTATGCATTTAGGTGAGTGCCAGTGGCTCATGCTTGTAATCCTAGCTTCTCAGGAGGCTGAGTTCCAGAGGGTAGTGGTTTGAAGCCAACATGGCAGAAAAGTCCATGAGACTATATTTCCAATTAACCACTGAAATAGTACCTTGTGCTAGACTGGAGATGTGGCTCAAGTGTTAGAGTACCAGCCATGAACAAGCAAATGAGAGAGAGAGAGAGAAAGAGAGAGAGAGGGAGGAAGGGAGGGAGAGGGAGAGGGGGAGAGGGAGGGAGAGAGAGGGGGAGAGGGAGGGAGGGAGAGGGGGAGAGGGGGAAGAAAGGGGGAGGGAGAGGGAGAGGGAGGCCCTAGAAAAAAGCATATTTGTGTATAAACACAGTGTAAGAGACAAGAGAACATTTGGCCAGAAAAATATCCATTCTGTAATTTGATTATTATGTGGTTAAATAAATGAATATATTTGTCAAACCTCATTGAATTGAAAAACTATAATCATCAAATTTTACTGTATGCAAATCACGTTACTCAAAATGATTAAAAATAAATAAAATATTCATAATGTAGGTCTTAGACTTACTGCAGGGGTAATAAATTTAATCTTCTGATTTATTGTTGAGAAATCCACTGGTCTGATTGTTTGTATGCTGGCATTAATATCTATTAACAACATAGCCTAAGCTGGGCACCAGTGGCTCATGCTTAGTTTCTCAGGAGACTGAGATATGAGGATCATGGTTCAAAGCCAGACTGGGCAGAAAAGTCTCCATGAGATTCTTATTTCCAATTAACCACTCAAAAATCAGAAGTACCTCTGTGGCTCAAGTGGAAGAATGCTAGCCTTGAGCACAAAATGGCTCAGGGGCAGTACCCAGGTACTGAGTTCAAGCCCTACAACCAATAAAGAAAGAAAAATATAGTCAAGGAAAGTATTTAATTTAATTTACTTAATTCATACTTAGAATTCAAGGCTCTAATTATGAATAGAAAAATTGGAGAAGAGTTGATTAACAATACGGTGTTAAGTCTACAGATTTTCACACATAAAGTGATATGGGAAAAAGATATTTTGAGACCCAATTCTTTTTTTTTATTACCACTTGAGCCACAGTGCCACTTCTGGATTTTTCTGCTTATATGGTGCTGAGGAATTGAATCTAGGGCCTCATGCATGAGAGGCAAGCACTCTACCACTGAACCACCTGCCCAGCCCAAGACCCAATTCTTAATGTTGAAATATACTTTCAGAATGAGTTTTAGATGTTTTTCTGTCAGTATAATAAAGTTGTCATTTTAGTCTGTCAAGATTTTTATGAGATAGTTTTCATTATTTGTATTATAATTATGTTTCACTCCATTAATTTTTAGTATTTTTTCTTTATCCTGAAATGAAGAAAGCAAGATTAAAAGTTGTATAAATCAACAAAATGCTGAGGAAATTAATACATGAAAGCATTAGTGCATATAGTAATCTCTGGATAGAGGGATTATAAATATTTGATTTCCTTTATATAAGTTCATTTTATTTCTAAAATTTCTACAGTTACTATATACATTGCATATTTTTGCCAGAAAAATCTAGTTGTGCAAATGCCACCAATTAGTAAGTAGAGTTTTTCTTATTCTTAAATGATTGCTATTAAAATTTCTTGAACTTCATTCTGTGGTCTCTTCATGTAGCTTACCTGATTGTAATGATGCATATTTTCTGCTTCGCTTCCCCAGTCATAAGCTCTGAATTCATCAGATCGGTAAAGCTGAAATAAACAAGTTTTAGAAAAGCAATTTGTACGTTAACAATTATGGAACAATTATGGGGACAATAATGGAAAAACACTATACTGGGAAGAAAGTAGGGTTTCTGTATCACCAGAAGGAAATAAATACATTCTCATTTTGGAAAGTGGGGTCTGATAGAAAATTAATGATTTCCCTTAGTTTGAACAAAAATCATATAGAAAAGCAAGACGTGAAAAGAAAACCAAATAGCAGATATTTCTGTCTGTGAGAGTTTCAGCCCTCTTGAGATTCGCTCTATTTACCTCTTTAACTAAGGGACTGTTTTGTAGTCTCTATCTAATATGGAACTTGTTAATGTCATCCATTTGGTTTCCACCACAAAATTCTTTCCCTTAAAGGCCAGGGAAATCAAAATATGAGAGTAGCAAAAAGGACAAATTGGAAACAAGTTGCTAAGCTTCTCAGGATAGTCTTGTCAAGAGGTGCAACTTTGCCCTTCCATATAGAATGAAAATGAGGACTGAAGTGGATAATATCTACCTGTTTTATATGCAGAATGTTCTGTATTGATGATCCACTGGGAGCGTGAGCCATATACACATCTATTCGACTCTAGAGAAATTAAACCCATGTTACAGCAAAAACCACTCAATGAAATAAACGATTCCTATCAGAAGCAGAGAACAATTACTATTAGAATTAATAATATATACTGGTACTTTGAAAATGATGAGGCAGAATTACTTTGATATATATTATATATAATATGCAACATATTATATAATATGTATATTATTTATTACCCTGAGATATATTATATAACATGTATTATATATTATATATACAGTAGTAGATATCCTTGGGCCAAGCAATGTGAAAAGGTGCTAGCTGCAAATGTGAAAGAGGTGTTCTGACCAGGCACATAGACTGCTATAGTACAATAGGTGACAAAATCTGAACCTAGGATCTCATGTTAATTATCAGCCTTATAAATTTGATCCATTTGTTTACTATCTCTGGATTCATTTTTTCATCTATTAAAAGTATATTAAAAACCATACTGCTAACTTGATGGGCTCTTGGAAAAATTCACAATGTGCTATAAAAATAAAGGCTAAAATTCAATTCCTTCCAAAAAATTTCAATTTTTGTAAATATCAGAGACAAAAATTAGTCACCCAACAGTAATCATAATTATATTTCTTAGAATATAATGAACACATTTAAAGAAAGCTATTTAAAATATTTATTTATTTTGCTAGGTCCTGGTGGCTCATGCCTGTAATCCTAGATTACAGAGGGCTGACATCTGAGGATTATGGTCAAAGCCAGCCCATGTAGGAAAGTCAGTGAATCTCTTATCTCCAATTAATCACAGAAAAAGCTATAAGTAGTGCTATGGTTCAAGTGGTAAATTGTTAGCCTTGAGTAAAAAGAACTGAGGGACAGTGCCCAGGCTCAGAGTTCTCCAGGACCAGCAAAAAAAATAAAATAAAAGTTTACTTTTTGAGGAAAAGTCTTTTAATGGGTCTTATGGGTTCAATATAACATAATTCAACCTCTAAGATAATAGCAGTCAGATGAACCGTTGGAGAACAGCTATCTTGGTACTGGCTTGATTGTGACATAACTATTTAACCATACTAGTCTACAAATACAAATTCTTCCTCCTCTTGCTTTCCTTCTTGAATTTCCAATAACTAGAAATAAGCACGTTATAAAATAAGACTGTTAAGACTGCTATTTATCTTTAGGAAGGGGATTCAAATGTTCTTTTATTTTATCCTAGATTTTCAAGTGGTAAATTTTATTTGAAATTTTAAAAAATGTTACATATAAAGGAAGACATACAGTAAATACATGTTATACTGATATAGGCGTCTTTCTTTTTCTAGAGTTTTGTTTTTAATGCAGAGTATAAACGCAATAAGTTTGAATTAATTATCATAGTAGTAACTGATTGCAAACTTGTGAGAATTTGGTACCCATTATGAAACACTTTATCCCATTTTTACTAAGGATGGGAAGATGCAGTTGCCTTTTCTTTTCCCAGTCTTCTTAGTTATAGTCTGTCTGAGTACTTACTTCTCTAGGCATCACTAATGTCTACATTTAATGAATTGGGATACTACCTGAATTTATGTGGTATGATAGGCAAAATGAATCAAAGGAGAGGTGAGATATATTCAAGTATCAAATGGTTCATAATTCTTATACATACTGCATTCATATTTTTCTTGTTGAATCCAGCCCATAGGGACAACATTTCAATACACATTGGTAAGAGTGCTTTATTATTGCAGATTTTTGTAGAAGCTATCTTTTTATTATTATCTTCTACAAAGAAACCTTTGGTACCAAACATAGCCTGTAAAAGAAAAAAAAGTATATATATAATTCAAAATCTTCAGACTATATTCCCTTCATTCTAGGAATGGACTATATCTATTTCTATTTACATTGTATTCTATTTCTTTTTACATTAATTATTTCAGTCAAGCAATATAAGTCCTTTAGAGAAAATGTTTTAGGAATCCATTTCCAAATGAACAAGGCCATCAGATTCCAATAAAGAATCTTCAACCCCCAATTCATGCCTCCATAGTGAACTTCCTTTATACTCTGTTGAATCAGTGATTTCTCATTAGCAGGAAAGTAAAAACCTTTTTTTTTTTAATTAGGGTGAAATATTACATTATGTACACATTGGCTTTCTAGTGCTCTCCAAGGTTCATCAGTTCTCATAACAAAAATTAGAGAATGAGCTGCCAAAGAGAAAGTGGTACCAGACATAAAAGAAGTGATAATGTCCAACAATGGACAGATTGAAAAACAAATCAGGAAAAAAAACAAACACCTCTACAGAAACCTCAAGAAAAAAGTTCCAGGGAATAAATTTAAAGAAGTAAAAACCATCTACAGCAGAAAAGTATATATCACTGAAGAAGGTCATCCAAGCATTTGGAAAATGATGACTTAACATGTTCATGGAAGAATGGGATTCTTTTTTCTTTTGCAATGGATGAAGCTCCAGACGATCATATAAAGTGAATGCAAATTCAGGACAAAGGTCACATGCTTTTGCTCATCTGTAGAATATAGACCTGAAAGAAATCTTATCTCCAACATGATTGTAGTTGGGGAACTGTTCTGAAGAGATGAGTAGAAAGGAGAGAGAGTAAAAAGAAAATGGTGGAGGGTGAAGACCATCTAAATACATTGCGTTTATGTGTGCAGGTAGCTTAAGGAACTTCATTGAAAGCAGCTGAGTACTAGAAGAGTAGGAGCAACTAGGAAATACAGAATAGAAGGTGTTAATGTGGCCGAAGTATAATTCAGGCACATGTGAAATACCATCGCAAAAAACTGTTATAAAAATGAGCATATTCTAAAGCAGGGTGCCCGTGGCTCACACCTGTAATTCTAGCTACTCAGGAGGCGGAGATCTGAGGATCATGGTTCAAAGGCAGCCTGCGCAGGAAAGTCCGTGAAACTCTTATGTCCAATAGCCACTAGGAAACCGGAAGTGCCACTGTGGCTCAAGCAGTAGAGTGCTCGCCTTGAGCTGAAGAGCACAGGGACAGCGCCCAGATCCACAGTTCAAGCCTCATGACCGGCAAAAAAAGAAATAAAACACCTTAGCATATTTTAAAACTGTAAATGAGAGGTTTGTGAAACAGAGACTGTCTTGTGTGGGAATACTAATGGGAGGAGGAGAAGAGAAAACAGAAGATGAGGGAAGGTGAATACGGGCAAAATACTTGCTTTGTAAGTGCGATTGTTTAGGGATGAGGGCAAAGAGAGGAGGGTACGTTATAGAAGGGGTGAATTTGGTCAGAGAATATGGTTTGCATGTAGGGGAACAGAATAATAAAACCCTCTTGCTTATCTAAAATACATTAGCAAGATGTGAAGAAAACAAGGCAGCCTTTTGGATAACACTTCTAGAACTTGGTAACTTTCTCTAGGAACTCTAGTGGTGTTCTGAAGCTCTCCACAAGAGACTGGGAGAGCCAGAGAATAGTATTTAAAGTAATAAGAATTTTCACAATAGATCATGTGAAATGAGATGAGCCAGGAACAGAATTTGTCTCATATCTGATGTATAAGACAAACAAATATCATACATACAAGATGATGGGTTTAAATCAACAAATGAGTTTACTTAGCCTTCCACAAATAAAGATAACATTCCAAACGAATTCAACTGATGTCAACACATTTTGAAATAGAGCTGATGCAAACACATTTTAAAATAGAGCTATCAATCACACAGGAGTAACAATATTTATCTTCATGATTAACAGTACGAGACTGTTGTTGAACCAATAATTAGGGCTTATAAAAACATATATCCTTTCTTTCCTGACAGTTGACTTCTGATTATGGTATTGCTGTCTTACATATTAATAATTGTGAAACTCTAATTTGTCTCCTCATGTTCACTTTAGTACAAATGTATTTTTTTACCATATCTCAAATTCAAAGGGAAATTTTGGTAATTCAAGAGTATGCTCAAAGTTATGCTCTTTGTGGCCAAGACATTCATACAGAAATAACTCAAAATAAAGCTGAAATGACCTTTGAGTGAATAAAATTCCAAATCCATACTTGTCAATAAAACAACTCTTAAAATGCGAATTATTATTTTAGTGAATACTTGAGTATCTGACATTGAGACCTTTTCATGTAGCCTTATTAAATTAAAGTAAGCTCTCAAGATGGAAAAGAGTATGTGTTCATCAAAGTTTTCTAATGTTCAACTTGGGACATTCATGGTCATTTGTAATTTGAAGAGTACCTGCCAGTTGGATATGTGAATCCATTGAATTGTTCAATTAAATAGAATTTAAAAATAATGGTTGGGACAGATGAGGAAGATCAATGGAAGGAATAATATTGATCAACATGAATGATCAAGCTGCATGATACATTAAGTTAAAATCTCTTTGTACAGCTACTGAAAGATAATTCAAAAAGCTTATAAATAGAAAATTTGTTAGTAGATGCTATAGTGAAATAGTACTCAGCTCACTTTGAAATTCAAATAGATACAAGTAACTAACTATGGTAAATTATATATAGTACCTGTAGCACAATGGCACAGACATGCATGCATAAAACAGGCAAACACAAGCTCATAGAGTCTATTTATTTTAGGTTTGATCTAAATTTTCTCTTTACTTCATACAAGTTTTTTTTATTAATAAACAATCTATGGTCCAACATAAGATCCTTGGGTGAGTTTTAGCAAAAAGGAAACGCCTACCTTGATTATGGAACTTGGAAGTAGAAAAAAACTTGTGAAAATGCTTGTGGGATATTTGAATGACATCACAGGACCCAAGGCAAAATTCAATTTGATTCTTTGTGCCAGTTCAGGCATGGTGGAAAAGGCCACAAACCCTGAGAAAGCAGGAGACAAGATAATCTTGTAAACATTAGAAATGCTTATGCAATATTTCTACAAACCAAAGTGGGGTACTACTTAGTTAATTTTGTCTTTCTGTTGCAATGGTTTTGGAAAAATTGGAATGTTTTCTAGTATTCTGCAAGGGTTTCTGTCTTCATTTCTTTCCACTCCCCAAACCACAACTTTCTCATATTCTACTGATGGACAATTTGACCTTGTTGGGGTCATGGAGTAGTTAGAATGTGGAAGGTGAGGGATGAGCTGCTGAAACAACTACTACTGGCTAAGTGTAGATGATTTCACTCCCCAAACGTTGGGTAAGTGCTGGAAATGTTTTCATTTCACTCTCAACTCTGAGATGCCAAAATGACTCTTAGAGCTTCCCAAAACAAAGTAAGCCATGAAATTCATAAAGCATGGCTCACACAGGTCTTTCTTCAGTATAATCCAGTCATTCCAAAGGCTTTCTTTCTCAATACAGAATAAAATTTTACTGCCATTACTTTCAGTTCCTTCGTGGATATTCACAAACCCTTCAGAAACCTTCCAACTGGCAAAGTAGAAGAAATTATGCCTGGTCCATTAAGGAGGAGAAAGGCTCAGTAAGGATCAACTTTCTTCCTTTACTTTGCTCTTTCAGGAGCAGTGTTGCAACTTTTATAGTTCCATGGTGATGAGGGTGGTAGGAAGGCCATGAGACTATCTATGTATGTTGATTTCCCAAGGTGCCTTTCTAGGCTTCCCTTGACATGTGTGTCTGTGTGTGTGTGTGTGTGTGTGTGTGTGTGTGTGTGTGTACAAATACATTATTGAAATTTTAAAGCTGTATTAGGTAGGTAAATCAACTGAATAATTCATAGAAAGACTCTAAATCAGGTATATTACCTCTCATCAGAGGGTTTTTGGAAATGTGAAAAGATGTGTTTTCTGGTGGTTACAGTGAGTGCAGTCTCCTATTAATATTTAGGGACTAAATATAGTACAAACAATAGGGTTCTTTCCACAAAATGAAAAAAATATGCTTTGACTAAAATGTAAATAGTGATCACTAAAACATTTTCTGTCTACATATAATATGGAACACCGGTGGTAACATTTCTTCTGTCTCCTTTGAAAACTAGTAGAGGCATGGGTAAACCCTACCCTCTTTTCCAGACCCAACTTGAATAATTTCTTCTCTGTTCATTCTCTACACAGTGCCCATCCACTCTACTGGTCAGACTGACTTGATTTGAATCTCTGTTTTGCCACTGATGTCTTCAGAGACCTTGCACAAGTCAGTTTCTCTGAACTTCTGTTTCCTTCTCTGTGAAGTAGTATTAACAGAAGGGCTATTCTTAAAACTGATGGGAGAAAAGTTTATAACATATAGAAAGAACATTCAGCAGAATTGATCTTATAATATAATTTTAGATATTATAATTGTACAATGATTTGACTATTAATGAAAATTTTGGGTTCTTCTCTTGGTACTTTGATACTACTTTTGTCTATGTCTCCTGATATTCACTGCCCATGCTAAGCCTGACAACTGCCTGTATTGATGACTACTGATCAGTATTTGTTTGCTATTGCTGAAAATGGTGCTAGTAGAAATAGAAGAAAAGTCACCATCTGTGTACAGTTTTATCCAACCACAATATTGTTTATTTTTATATGTCTATCCTCTTAATGTTAGACAATTCAGCATAAGATCAATAGTAAGTTCTTATTTTATCAGCATAGTAAATTTTTATGTGGAATTAGACTGCTAATTTCTTTACAAAAGTGCTAGCAAATCATTAACAGAATGCTTTTTTAGTAGCTCTGAAGTTTCAACTCAGAACATCACGCTTACTAAGCAGGTACATTTCCACTTTCCCCACCTTAGGCCCACTTGAGACCAATGCTAAGATGCTGATTTTTTTAAAGAACATAATTTTTAAAAAACTTACAGATGTCTACATGATGCTTCCATTTAATTCTATTCTATAAACATTAAGCTGTATGCTGAATAAGGACATCCAGTTGATTGGTTATATTATTTTGTTTCAACCTGCAAACAGATGTAACCAACTTCTCATTTATTCAACTTAAGCTAGACTTCAATGGCTTGAACCTGTAATGCTAGCTGCTCAGGAGGCTGAAATCTGAGGGTCACGGTTCAAAACTAGCCCAGGCAGGGAAGTCCTTGAACCTTTTATTTCCAAAAAACTCCTCAGAAAAAAGCCAGAAATGGCACTGTGGCTTAAGTGGTAGAGCACTAGCCTTCTAGCTTTGAGCACAGAGGCTCAGGCAGAGTGTCCAGGCCCTGAGCTCAAGCCCCAGGACCAGCAAAAATTAAAAAAAATAAATAAGTCCACTCCCCTCCTTTAAATTTAATTTAAATTCAATCTGTTGTATTTTATAATGATTCAGGGATATTTCATAGCATGAAGCTTTACTTTAATAGAGCAGAAGGAATCTACAAGATTTCTCTTTAGACTACATCCTTGGATTTGGAGCACATGTTATTTCTGAAAAATGATATCATCATTAGAAATGTGCAGCTATAATCTGAAATCAGGGAGAGGTTTTGTCCTAATTCTCAGTCTCTGGTCTATAGATTCACGAGCACTTAGTGCAATAGGGTTGTTTCCAGAATAGGGTAGAGAGTGACAAGCATTATAACTAGAATTTATTACAGTTCAGTTTCTGGGTGCATTCCTCCTGGAATACACTAATAAAATTGACTATTGTCAACATACCTATTGTAGTGCCAAGTGAATGACCAATATAATACAACTTCTCCTGGCCTGTCTTATTTACAATGAAATCTATTACTCCTGGTAGATCATATTTGGCCATTTCATCAAAACTGCAAGATAAGATAAGGGGTTATTAATACTTACAACTATAATTTTAAAATTTACACACAATCTGAGCACCGTGGCACATAGCTATAGTCCTAGCTCTTAGCATGCTGAGATAGGATGATAGTGAGTTTAGGCTTGGGCTCCATAGTGAGTGGAGTTCATTCTGGGCTCCATAGCATGATTGACACCCCCCCTCTTTCACTCTCTCTCACTCTGCTCTCCCTCTGTCATTCTTTCTGAGTGAACATTTACAAGCAAAACAAGCACAGCACCCTTCAGATACCTGCCTGCTTTATATATAGAATTCTGTGCTGTCAGTGTGCATCACATTATTTACTCAAGTAAATGTAAAGCATTTTAGCTCGCCCCATTTATAGTTTACTTCCTAATAAGAGGCACAATTTCAAGATTTGCGTATGCTATTTAAAGTTCACTCTTCTTTTTCCTTCCTCTTTATTTCCTTCCTTTTTCTGAATTCTTTGCAAGCCTCTCCTTCTCACACTGCCTGATGGGATTCTTGACATATGTAGCTATTCAATACCCATTCCTGCACTTGGAAAACATGACTAGTGTCAATTAGGATTGCACCATTTACTATTTAGGTACCTTAAATGCTCTGAACCTTAGCTTCCTCAATTGAGAAATAAATAGTTCAGTGCCTGGTTTATAGAGCTGCTGTAACTATTAAATAGTAGAAAAAAGAAACAAGTTGGCTGCAGGTAAGCACCAAATTAGATGTTGCTATTGTTGGCTCTTCTGTTCATACAGATGCCTATCAGACATATGCACCAATATTCCATAATACCAGTTACACCAGCATCAATATAAAAGGATAAAAAGGCCTATATAATATTCAGTACAGTTAAAGATATTTATGTAAAGCACACATGAATGGTTTCTAAAATAATATTAGCAGAACTAAAACAAAGGAACTTCAAGATCTCAGTCAAGAAGCAGGAATACAAAAATATTTCTCTATTTTTCCCCTCCCACAGAGCTGTGAACCTCGACAACTTATTCTATATTTTTTTCTTCACTAAAGACAGGTTTGTTTGTTTTTTTTTGTCGGTCGTGGGGCTTGAACCCTGGGCCTGGGCACTGTCCTTCAGCTCTTCAGCTCAAGGCGAGCGCTCTACCACTTGAGCTACAGCGCCACTTCCGGTTTTCTGGGGTTTTATTGGAGATAAGAGTCTCACGGACTTTCCTGCCTGGGCTGCCTTTGAAGGAGATCCTCAGATCTCAGCCTCCTGAGTAGCTAGGATTACAGGCGTGAGCCACCAGCCACCAGCGCCCGGCGTCTTCACTAAAGACTTAGTATGCACTAGCTATATGATTGATATGAGGTAAATGCATACTCAATTCTAGCAGTAGGTTAGAAAACCGAAAGGGAAGTGAAGCCAGAGGAATTGAAGATCTCTGATAATAGCAAAGCACACTCATTAAGAGAAATGGTCAATAATTTCTTATTCATTGTCCATGATCATTGTTTGTAAAAACTCACATAGGAATTTTTCTAATATTGGAATTTGCTGTACAATTTCAACCATAATTTCTTTAAATAAATGTTGCAAAAGTAATTGGTTGTCCTGGAGGAAAAGATTTGCATAAATATGAGTAAAAGTAAGCTTATTTGGGTGGGTTTACCTTTGAAATACACATACCATAGGCATTCATAAACACTGTTTAAATGAGTTCATAAATTTGAAATAGGAATTTCCTGAGCTGTTTCCTGGACAAACTAGTGATGTGTGTGTAGGACTGGACAGATTGAATGGTCAAAGGATCTTTCTAAAATCAAGAATCAAAGAAAATCAAAGGTTCTCATCATTTTTCCTCTTTGAAGATGTTAGAAAGTATTACAGATTCTGAATAATATCTATTATTTTAATGAAACCACCTCCAAATTTGCTCTTGTTTTTTTCTTAGATACAGTTTACCTAAAGGCCCAGAATTTCTCTTCATTTGCAGAGAGTGTTGTGTGTCTTCTTGACCAAGTATTTCCCCGACTATTTCCCATCCATACATCGTAACCTGCATCTGCCAGAATGAACCCGAGGCTTCCATTAGCACAGTTCTCAAGCCAGTAAGCAGTGTCTGCAAACAAAGCGTGTTGCATGTACACAACTGGCCGGGGACCTAGAGAAGGGATTGTCGAGATAGAAGAAAATTATAACAAATAGTATATGCCAGAAACATTATAGAAACACGTATCTACATGGGATAAACACACACCCACATGAATACACATGTGTACACACAGAAATAGTTACTAGCCTGGCATTGGTGGCTCACACATGTAACCCTAGCTACTCAGGAGTTTGAGATTTGAGGGTCATGGTTTGAAGCCAGCTCTGTCAATGAGACTCTTTTATCGTCAAGTAATCAGAAAAAGATGGTAGTTTAGCTGTGGTTGAAGTAGTAGTGTTCCAGCCTTGAGCGGCATAGGCAAGTGAGAAAATGAAATCCTGAGTTCATGCCCGAATAATGGCATGAAAAAAGTAGCTGCTACTTTAAGAATCATTTTACAGTTATAAAAACCAATTCCAGAGAGTTGACTAGCTGATGATGCAGAAAGCCAAGACTCAACCCCACTTCGGTCTTACATCACAGTATGTGCTCTCTACTCTGCATTCATTTATCATCAGCAACTTACTGACAGTTCCATTTATGACTTTTCACCTTTACGATGGTGTCAGTTGATATGGTTTCAGTATAACGCATAATTTGGTTTTTGAATTTTGATCTTTCTTGGGAAGAGAATGTGCATGACAGATTTATTTATATCTGCTACAAATTAGGCATAAGCCAAATGCTCATCAAGAGTTCAATTGATTAAAAAATGTACCATGTCATTCAATGTAAACTTACGCAGCAGAAGAAGTGGTACAAGCTTAATGTGGGTTAATCTCCTAGGCTTCCAGTGAAGGTATAGGGGTTAGTATATATGGGTCCTGATTAGTTCTTTACCCAGATCCTAAATTCCCAGCCTTTGCTCACTATAGAACATTCAAAAACCAGTAGCAGAATTAATCCATTCTACCATGTTTTCATTGTTTCTCAAAGTTCTGAAAGAAAAAGAGTGCTCAGTGAGGTGAGAAGAACTAGGATTGAAAAACTGAAACATATATACTGCAATTTAATAGCTAATAGCACAGGCTACAGAGACAGACTGCCCAAGTTTAAACTTTACTTCTGACACTAGTTATTGTTTTGATTCCATATCACTTTCATTATCTGAGAATATTAGAATTGCAGGGAGTTTTAATGGATTTGTTTAGTACAATGCAGTAAGCTACTGATTTATTTGCTGGGAATTAAACTCAGGATCTCATGCCTGCTACACTGGAATTCTGAACTACCTCCCCTAGCCCATCAACAAGTTATTTTTTAATTCTAAATCCTGCTAAAATTCTCTGGTCTTAAACATATTTTTACTTTTAATGTTCTCTTCCTTTACGTTGTATCTTCTCCCTTGGGGCTGAAATTGACAGATATAACAAAAATGAATATGATCCACAAGGTTTCATACAATTTGGAATTAAGATAGCAGTGAATGAATTAATTTTTACTATGTCCTAAAATGGAATTTCTATCCAAAAGGTATTTTTTTTTTGCTTGTTTGATGTTCAAATCCAGCGATGAACCCTATAATCTTCAGAGAAGACTCCTTTGGGTACCTCACAGGTGCTAGCTGCATGAATGCAAGTCTCTTTCCAACAGTGAGAAAATCCACTTCCTGGACTCACCTGAGTTAGCGAACTATGGGCCCCACCTTTGCATTTACATAGGAGCAAACAAGCCTGGAGAAAGTCTACAAGATGAGGCTTGTCATTTGTTTGTTTAGTTTCTTGTCTGTCTTTAGAAAATTAGAGGGGAAAGCATGACTCTCCTCCTTTTTAACCATTTAAACCAGAAATTCAGTCAATTTTGATAAACGAGTCACTGTCTGGTTGGATTACCAGCAATAAATTTCAGTAGAACACAGTCCATCATATACCTGTGTAGCTAGAGTGTCTCCTCCCATAGGGAATTCTGTTGATGGCGAGTATGTAGCCATCCGCAGTGGTCACATTGTACTCTTCGCTGGGATAGCCATTGTACGTGATGATTTCACTCTGCCCAGAGAAAACAGAAGCATTAAGATGTTTATATTCTTTTTGTGTCTTAAAGGTCATAAAAAGAACTAGAACAAAGCACCTGGCATGTGCTTATTAGGATAAATTATGTGAAATCTGTTGCTCCAAGCAACTATGAAATTATAAAGCCTTGATAAAATAAAAATAACTAAGGTGGGTGTGGTGGTGCATGCTTGTAATTGTAGAGAAGGGAAGATCAAGTTTGAATCCAGATTTTGTCTCAAAAAACAAAAAAAGACTTCAAAAAACATGTACTATTGTTGAGGGTTTAGAATATTTAGCCAGGACCTCATTCTCAGTAATAAAGTTTCATATTTAAAGGCGCTTATCTTTTAGTAAAGATATATAGAAAACAGAAGGCATTTATATATACATATATATATGTATATATATATATATGTACATATATATATATATGTCCAAATGGTTGTTGGTGTGTATATGTGTGTGTGTGTGTCTCTGTGTGTGTGTGTGCCTTTGTGTTTGTCAGTACAGGGACTTGAACTCAAGCTATCACAATCTCACTCAACTTTCTTGTATAGTGCTGGTGCTCTACACTGCCATTTTACCATTTTACTGGTTAATTGGAGATGGAGTCTCATAAGCTATTTTTTTCCAGTCTGGCTTTAAGTCTCAACCTTCCAGGTTTCAGCCTCCTGATTAGCTAGAGTTAGAGGAGCCACCAGTACTTGAATTAACATTCTTAAGGTATAAATTAAAATGAGGACCTAATGAGTATAAAAGACAAAATACAATTCCATTTCCTACTACTTGAAAACCTTAGTTTTCAGCCACAAAGGAGCAAATCTAGTCAGACTGTTACAATGATATTAAAAATCATCTACCTGTTTTCCTTATTAGCGATTTTCTGTAATACGCGGGTCTTTTGTGATCCCACCTCATTAATCCTGCTTTATCTGATGTTCTTTGGAATCTTCTATGACTTACAGTGTTCATCCACACTTCAGGATTTACTTCGTTTTCCAAATCCAAGAATCCATGAGCATTTAGAGTCCCACAAATCAAACAAGCTGTTGTCAGAAATAGCCACATCATAGGAATGCCTGGCACAAAACATTTAATATTCACAGATTAATTTAATTTACCAGTGTTAATGAAATAACAGTCATTCCTTAATGAAAACCTGAATAGTATTGTAGGCATGCTAAAACTGTAAAGAAAGGAACAAATGAAATTATTTATAGCTGAGGCTTCGAAGTTAAATATCTATATATAGAGAGAGACAGAGAGAGAGAGAGAGAGAAAGTGGTGTAGCTCAGTGCCCAAAAAGCAAACAAGAACAATGAATAGATGGAGTTTCCACTAAGCAAACAAATTTAGGTTCTGTTTCTAGTAATGGGATTATTCCTGGTATAGACACCTGAACAAAGCTTGACTCTTCATAGCAGGCTCCACAGCATGAGGGCATCTGAGTACTGCTATTGCCAACAGGCATGACCTTTGAAGTCGAGCCTCACCACAAATAAGATTTCTGACTCTGGGCAAGTTAGTTAAGAGCTTTGTGTCTTGGTTCCTTTGTTAGTAGCATTAAGATAACAACAGATTCTTCCTGGAGGTGTTACCAGTAAAGATTAAAAGGGACATAAATAGCACATTTAGTGCAGTGTGAGTTCTTAATAAAATCTCTCTCTTTTTTTGTTCTGAGGAGCAAGAGCTTAATATCAAAATAAATCGATACAAATTAGTACCCATACATAGTTAAATTTTGAAGCTGCATAGTTTTTCATATATACGGTACATACTAAAAATTATCTTACATCCATCAATGTTAAAAACAGTACAATTTTTGAAGCTAATCATAGTATCTAGAGCGCTTACCTTTTGCTAGCCATTGTCCTCAGTGCTTCATCTATGCTATTTGAGCATATAAAAACTCCATGCCGGGTGCCCGTGGCTCAGGCCTGCAATCCTAGCTACTCAGGAGGCTGAGATCTGAGGATCATGGTTCAAAGGCAGCCCAGGCAGGAAAGTCCGTGAGACTCTTATCTCCAATAAAACCACTAGAAAATCGGAAGTGGTGTTGTGGCTCAAGCAGTAGAGCGCTCACCTTGAGCTGAAAAGCTGAGGGACAATGCCAGGCCCAGAGTTCAAGCCCCATGGCCGACAAAAAAACATAAAAAACTCCATGATGTTGTTACTAATATTATCTTCTTCCTATCAATTAAAAACAAAACAAAACAAAAGGCTGAGAGAAAACTAAGATCTGCCTACGGCCACAGAACCACCATGCCAAGTCTAGGATGCTCCTTCCATCCGCTCTATCCTGCCTGTCCAGTGCAATGAATCTCCATCTTACCTAGTCAGGTGACCTTCACCTGTTCCTGAGGACTCCACACTGATTAGGAATCTCCAAACTTTTGCTTTGGACATCAGGCTGATGAGTGAGCTATGGCTGCAGTGACAGTTAGAAGTTAAGAGAGATGGGGAAATAGGAAGCTTGTGGAAATGAGGAAAGCTTGGGCTGCGCCCTGCCCAGGGCGGCTCCCTGACATACCACAAGCAGTGAGGCACTTGGAGTTGGGAAACGAGACTACAGGAGGCCAAGTAACCAGTTTGGCTGAGTCATCCACGTTTGCACTAAGTGTCTGTCATTATTGGGAGGGTTCAGTAACATTTTCAAACCAGTATATCAAACGGGCAGTAGAATGCACTCAGGATCCTAATGGACAACCCCGCAGATAAACAACAGGAACGATCCCAACCCTACAACTCAAGAATGTGGATAAACTACAGGAACATCTGTGAAAGTATTGATGTCAACTATATAGCGTGCAGGGAAGTGCATGATTGAAACTCAGGGAGTCAAGGAGGCCATGTGAATCCTGACAGACCAGAAGGAGCTTGCAACTAGCAGTGACAGAGGAAACTGAGTCATATATTTAAAGGAGTTGAATCTTGGTCGACTTTGGCAGCAATCAGCTGTGATTTCGCCCAGAAATGATTTAACCACTCTGCTTTAAACAAGGTGGAAATGGAGATGTGGAAAGATGAGGAACATTTAGCTCTCAATTACACACAAACAGTCACACAATAGAGGCATAAACGCCTTGATTTTTCTGTTCCACGTTTTTAATGCCCATAGAGACAAAGGCTTGAAGGCACTAACTCAACTGCTTCCATTTTTGAGCAATGAGAGTTTGGGAAAATTGTGTTGTCACCCAGAGCACTTTAGGAGTTTCAGTTCTATTTGCCATCCTCAAATCCTTTCAGAATTAAAGGTATTATCCACATTTACCCCAAGTCTTGGATCTATTCCAGGTGAGTTGAAAATTTCCTGGCACTAAAATAAATGTGCAGTAAAAGGAACCATTATGCTTCTTTAACAGGGAAATTTATATACCACTCAATTCCAGTCTTTATACACCATTCTATATATCCAGTTTTTTGGGAATGATTCAAAACAGGTTTTGCTCTGATTGACGGTATGATAGTTGAGGTGTATAGAATTGTCTGGAATATGCTTCATGGCTTATGACTTTGAAACAATCCCTTCTGAAAAAACTCTAGTGAACTCTTAGCGAGTTGTAGAATGAACTATTACCATTCATGTTGATTTGTTGTCATGACTTAAGGCACAAATAACACAAACATACCTCACTTCTCATGCTTTTGTAGTTGTGGACAGGCTCAAACCACAAAAGGAATTTCTATGCCTTTGATATATTCCTCTCACAACTTTGAGGGCTGTCAATAATTTGAGGAATTCTTCCAGCTTCTTTAGTTTGTATAAAAATAGTCATATTAAATAAACAAGGCTAACATTTTGACAATATTTCACCACTATTCTCACATATAAACTTGTTCTTGTAGCAAGTATTTACTATATTATTAAATATTGTATATTATTACATATAGTAGTGTTTATGTAATATTAGGTATAATGTCTATTAATGCATATGTCATTATAGGTAACACATATTAATCATTTTATTATAGCATACAATATATTTATAGATATCAATATCACAAAATATAATAACAAATATCATTATAGGTCATGAGAGCCATTATATTTAATATTATATATTATATAGTTAATATTCATGTTGATTAAAATGAAATAAATTGAATTTTCTTCCTTGTCTATGTAATAAAAAGAGATTCTTTTCTCTAGAAGCCCAATTAGTTACTTATTTTCTCATAAAACTAGGTAGTAGTAGAACTGGATTTGATTCAATAACTCTATCAGTGTGAGCAAATTACTTAATAACTATTGCTCAAACAATGTATCAGGAAGGATAAGAATACATGGTTGAACTTGGATCTTTAACAGTGAAAATGACTGATACTTTTCTACCAATCTTCTGTTTAGAAACACATTTGCTCTAACAATGTCTTGTCCTTTTTATATGTTTGTTTGATTGATGGCTTTGTTCTCTCTAAATATTTTCTTTTTACCGGTACAGGGACTGAACTCAGGGCTTACTACTTACTGTGCAAGTGCCCTACTGGGCTCATTTGAGCATGGTCCCAGTCTGTTAGGCCTTTTTGGCTGTCTTCTCACATAAATTCTTATGCTTTGTGCTCTGATTGGCTACAAGTCATGGTCCTCTCTCTAACTCTGAAGTACTGGGATTATATGTATGCACTACCACATCCAGATAAAGAATATTGTCTCTTTTAAAATTTTTATTTTTTCATTGTTATTATAAAGTTGATTTACAAAAAATCTACAGTTACATAAGTCAGATAATGAGTACAATGTCACCTTTTCCCTCCCTCTCTTCCAGCTTTTCTCTCCCACCCCTACCCACAAGTTGTATAGTTTTATTTTAATATACAGAATATTGTCTCTTAACAAGTGACATAGTGTTAAAGGAGCATTAATTTTTCCTTGAATATAACACAAAGTTAAAAATATTTGGCAATTCCATCAGAAAGAATGACACCACCCCATTTATTAGAAAGTGGAAAACCTTGGAAAAAATTATATTAAGTGAAGTAAGCCAGGCCCAAAGAAACATAGGTCCCACGGTTTTCCTTATTTGCAATAACTAGTATATATCTAGGATAATCTTACCAGACAAGCAGAAAAGATCAAAAGCTATGTACATATGATCATATAAGATGATGCTAAGTGAGATGAACTCCAAGATAGGGACACAAGAGGTTTTATCTTCGTTGTTATTTTTTATGTGCTATGTGATTTTTTTGTTTCTTTTGTATGTTCTTCTCCCATGGTATAACCCCTGTTGTCACTCTATTTGATTCCAGTGCCCTGCATCTTGTATATACAATTTTTTTCTAATTTGGGGAGGGGAAGGGAAATAAAAAATGCTGAAACAAGGATACAGGTTGAACAATGATATGTACAAGACACTATGTTGAAAATGAACTTTACAACTTTGGGGGTGGGGGAGGGAGGAATTGGGGAAGTGGGTGGTAGGGCAAAAACAAAGAAGGGGGTAACAATGTTTGATCGGAAATGTGCTCATTACCTTACTATGTAACTGTAATGCCTCTGTACAGTATCTTTACAATAAAATATATTAAAAATATTTGGCAATAACAACAACATAGAAACTAGTGGGAAAGTGAACATACAATTTAAAACCTTGTACCTTTGAGACAAATTTTGTCCTGCAAGACTATAAATGAACAAAAACTTAGAATTTGTCACTCTCTCCCTAGAAAATTAATCAAATCCGGTTTTCATTCTTTAATTCAAATAGGACTTAATAAAATTATAAGGATACATAGTTGAATATGTGTGAATATGTGAGTATATCAATTCGTGAATAGGATTAATAGTAAATTTTGGTTTATGGAAAAACTTTAAAATATATGTTAAGATTTTATTCCTTTACTCATCAAGCAAAATTATCAATCTTCATGATTGCTATAAGAAATTTTTTATTTTGAGATTGGCTTTTTCAGTGAATCATTATTATTATCTTATTTTAAGTGTTGCTAACAATGATACTAGCATTTCACTACCATTCAACTACACCCATCTTCAAAAACATTATGGATACCATAAAGAAGTAGAAGACAGAAATGGGTAAAAAGTTGGACTGAAAGTAAAATATTAATAT